TGTGTTCTATTTTTACTTATGTATTGTCTCATGTCTTGTCCTGTATTCCCCTCCCCACAAATTGTAAGCCGCCCTGAGTCCCCTCAGGGAAAAGGGCGGCCTATAAATAATAAACAAATACCAAATACCAAATATCAATCTGTTGTTTTAGTGACTACAAATAAGACTTATTAATTGATCAGAAATGAGACAATCAATTACTTATTTAGCTATAATTCCCTGGCCAATACATTAGTCAACTTTGCACTGAGGCTGAGAAGCTACTAGTATTATTTTCAACCAAAACAGAAGAAAGATCTTAAAAACAATTGCACCATGACCCTATCAAAGCTAGAGCCACCATGTAAGAGTAGGGGTGGGGGTGAGAGATTTCCAATATCATTGACCTTGTTTTAAATAAATCCTACACATAATAGAGTGTTATGTTCCAAACAGATTTAACATCTTCATCTGGAAATGCATAGCTATGCCCAAATCTGCTGAAGTCTATTTAAGCAACAAGGGAATCATTGTTTAGTGATCCTAATTGCAACTTCAATTCACTAATTAAGTGAAGCAGTTGTCAGTGAAAATCTCTACCATGCTTATAATCTTACTTCAGCTTCCCTTTGCTTTATAGACATATTGTAAATGTGAGGATTAGTCAAAAAGGTATTTATCACTATTGTAATTGTGAATGGTTGCTAAATGAGGCAAGTGCTAAACAAAGACTATCTATACATTTCCATAGGCCCATCATTGGGCAGACACTGCTCATACATGACATAAAGAAATCTGAAGACTTGTCCCCAAATGGTTTCTTAATGGGTAATCTTTATTATAAATGTTATTGTAAATGTTGTATCTAGGATTAAATTGAACAACAAAAAATTCAGAGAATATCAGGGAATGCAATTTTAAATATGGGTGGAGTCTACCAATAGTGCTAATTCATAATGGCTTTACATACTGTATGAACACAGCTATGGCTTATTTAATAAGTCGTGATTTAAATAAACCATGGTTAAGGGCCAATAAACTTCGCTGATAATTTGATCAAAATTTATTAAATGGTTTTTCACTTTGTGAATTCATAATGGCTGAATTCACACACAATAGTAAGCTAGAAACATAGGAGTCTGTCTTAAAATGAAACTGATGTAACTGACCACTGAAAGGTAAATTGCCAGAAATCATAACTGCTGTGTGATTTAGTATAGTTAATCAAGTTTCATTTATTTATGCTGGTTACGCATTCGAGTTTAGAATTTGCTGTAGAGAATGTAACGATTATTAATTTCAAATTAATCTAAATTATCTCTTCCAATTGAGAATAAACAATTACTGTATTTTTCACACTGTAAGGCGCACTCCCCCCACCCAAAAAAAAGTGAATGGAAATGTCTTGTGTCTTACAGAACGAATATTGCAGTGGAAGCAACAGCTACAACCACCTGTCCCTGCCGCCGCTGGTCGCCATGGGGGAATGCTGGAGCCTTTACTGCTGAGCAGCTGACTGGTAGTTTGGATCGGCCTCCTGGAATCCTCAGCGGTTCTAGGCAGCACGGATTGTCACCACTGATCGCTGGCACCATTCACTGCCGCCGAATGGTGATGGCAGTGATTGGCAGCATATGGCAGCAGTGATCAGCGGCAGCGAACAGCAATCCCGACCACCTAGAACAGCTGATATTCCAAACGGCCAATCCAACCATCAATCAGCAGTGAAGGCTCCAGTGTTCTCCAGTGGCAGTAGCAGCTCAGCTCAGTTGACCAATAGTGGGGGCAACACAGCAGAGCCCTGACAAGCCACGTTCTGGGGCTGCAATAACATGCTGAACTTGACCTTGTTTGCTTCAAGTACACTAGCCAGATGAATAGCGGGGATGCTGGGAGACAGAGGCAGATTTTTTTTCTTGTTTTCCTCCTCTAAACTAATGTGCATCTTATGGTCCAGCGCATCTTACAATGCGAAAAATATGGTACTGCTACATAAATTTTGGGCAGTTATTTTTTATGTACCATTTCCTAAAACAGATCTATTTTCTTTTTCTATAAAATCCAGAACTGACAGAGGTCCAGATAATGCTATTGGTAGAATCTATGGAAAAAAAGATTGTATCCCAGCAACTGAACCTGGTAAGAGAACTTCTAAAGCAAAAATAATTTGCTTTCGTTAATATTCATTCTTCTCTGAGGCATTAAGATATTACACATGATTTCCCCCACTTCATGGGTATCAAACTCAATTGCGTCTCATGATATCATGTGATATATCATGATGCCTTTGCGGTACCTCGGTGAGCATGGTGTGGGTGTGATGCATTCAGCCCATGAGCCACCAGTTTGACACTCCTGCTCTAGCTGATCTAAGAGGCTAAATGTACAAGGCTATGTCTTCTGCTTATTTATTGTAGAATAACAGCAATGCTAAAGGAACTTTGGGTTCCTATTGTATTTCTATGCTAATAAAACATTGAGGCATATAGAACAGGTTGTCCTCAGCTTATGGCTGCAATTGGTACCAGTATTTCTGTTATTATGTAGGGCAGTTACCAAGTGAGTCACACTCAATATTATGGCCACTTTTAATGACCAATTTTATCATCACTTTTGCCATGGATGTTAAGTAAATCACTGCAGAAGTTAAGGGAATCTAGCTTCCCCCATTGACTTAGCTTCTTGGAAACCAGCAGGGGAAATGGCAAATGATCACATGACTCCAGAACACTGCAAACATTGTTAAATACATGCCAGGTGCCAAGCACCTGATCTATGATCGTATGTGTGGCAATGCTGCAATGTTGTAAGTACAAGGACCAGTCCTAAGTCATTTTTCCCCAGTACTGTTGTAACCTTAAAGGATTGCTAAACCAATGGTTGTAAATTGACTACCTATATATACTTTGGCTACAACTGATATAATTTATTGGTATGCAAACTGTTTCAAATCCAAACATTTTGAGATTGAAATAGATCTTTTTATTGTTACCATACTGGTGTTTCATGCTTATATTTTCAGGATCCTCAAAGCAGAATTGAATCGCTTCCAGTAAGACTGGGGCAATTACAAGGTTATAGCATTGCAAATTTGAAACTTACCACGAATATAATGCCATATAAACGCTGTATTTTATTTTGGCCTCAATTGATTTTCAACATGTGTATGTTACTGATCAAGTACTGCAAATTCTATTTTATTTGTTTCTTGTTTCCAAAGGTTGGAGGAATCCTAGATAAATATTTCTGGAATGAAAAACATAATTTTATTGTAGAAGTCCAGGAGTTACCTGAAGAGGAATGGGATATAACTGAAGCATTAGTTAAAGAAATAAGTGAAATATCCATTCAACGAAGTGAATGCACTGTTACTGGATCTGTACACCCTTCAGCCCTCCCTTCAGCCCTCCCTGCACTATATGTGGCTCTATTTGGAATTGATCTTCTATCTAAGGAAAGTTTTTAAGTCATTCTTTTAAATCAGAGTATGTTTGCAGATAGAAAAGAATCGTGTACAAATGCAGCAGTCTAATATATTCAAAAGGAAAGTTGTAATCTAACAGCCTTATTTGAAAGGAAGCTTGCCTGAGAATATCAATTTATATTATTAACTAGATATTTAGTTCTTGCATTCAATTTTCCATAACTGCATTCACACAAAATTCTAAGCCATTTGTAGTTTGGTTTAGTGGATTGTTCAAATTTAGATAGGGCCAGTCAGAAACCATTACTATGATTAAAATAATCATTAAACATAAGGTTAAAAAAAACTAATTTAAAATTAAATGTCCTTAAATATATTATTAAATCTAAACCATAAACATATTGCCCCATCTTCTCATTTTAGAATATAACATTTCAGAAATGGATAAAGAATTGCATTTTAAATCTAGTTCTTATTAATTTGTTTTACGTTACTTCTGTCACAATCCAGGAACCTTCTCCTCAACTTATGTTTGGAAGAGAGGACTTGTACAACTGTTACTGGCAAATATAAAAGAACTATAATAAAATTAAAATAAACTGTAAAACTCCTATAGTATGAACTACATAGCTACAGAGATCATTTATCCTCATATTTAAACATTCCTTCAGACCGAGATCAATATCACAGCCACTAACTAAAATTACTTCCTCTTTTTTTGCTTTTTAAAATAATGTTACATTTTTGTGGCTTTAAGTAGTCACATGAAAAACATTTTTCACTCTAACATTTTTCAATAGGTCATGGAAGCATAACTATCAAGTAGCTACATTTTTATAAAAAAGCAACTCCATGGGGTGGCTGCATAACCAGAGAGCTTGGAGCAGGAGGTTGAAGACCCTCCAGTTTCAGTCCTGCTTTCACTGTTTCTTTCCCCTTTTGTTTCATAGTCTTATTATATTTAATATACTGTAAAAAGGGAAACAAAATTTCATTTTAAAATTATCAAATTATTTCAGATAGGCTGTGAAATAAAGGAAGCAGGAGAAAGAACCTACAGAGATTCTGTATAGTACCATCCTACTGCTCCCTCAACACAGCACTTCTAACGTAACGGGAGACTGGCTAGTCACAAGTTGGGTATATTTGTTCTCTAATGTGGCATTACTTAAGCTAATGTTGGTAAATGGATACATTGCATTGTCTGGATTTGAAAAAGAAGAAAATAATAAAATGGCTTTCCTATATAACCTTTCAATGCAATAACGGACCAGTCATGTACTACTTATACTGTGATTTGAGTTTCTTATTTGGTTCACAAGTTGAATGAAGCTTGGGATAACTTATTTAATGAAGGATTACTGAATAAACTCAATTGCTTGAATTGTATTTTGGCTTATTATGATGCAAGAATCAGCTTATATATTACAATCTGCATGAATTATGCATGCAGCTTCCTGCCAGAAGTTAAATATAAAATCATAAATCTTATCAAATTCCTACAGAATTAGCTTAAGAATCAGCACTAATTTGCAGACAAAAGAAAAGAATGTCCAATTCTATGTTCCTTTTCACGTGTATGTTCACATATGTATGCAGATGCCTACTATTCATCACCTCACACATTGAAAAGTCTTCACAAAAAATTATGTTACTCAAAGTAATAATAAATTTAAGCTCCATAAAACTACAAGCTCACAATTCACAAAGAATCCTACACAAGCTCAGTTTCAGGTTCACTGCAGCAGCCAGTTGATGGAAGACCTTTCCCCTAAGATAGCTAGCCGGCAGTCCTTTCCAGAAGACTGAGTGAAGGACATGGCAAGATGTGCACAAGAGTGCTTCCCTCCTCATGCTATCAAAGTTGGATTCATTTTCCTCCTGCCCCCCAAAAAAGGTTATAGCAATTAATATCTGATATGCTTTCAGCAGCAGAATATCCATTAGTATCATAAAACATTTCAGTTTTAAATTAAATAATAAAATGTAAATACGTTCAGAATACGTCTAGAGAAGAAGGGGGAGAGGAATGAAAGTGAAGAAGCTGTTTGAATGATTTTCCATTTTTTCTTCCTTTTTAATATTTTTTTTAATTTTCAGTATCAAATTCTAAAAAAGTTTAAATGCTTACAGAATACTATTTGCAATTATTATCAGTGCCTAGCAAATTTAAATTATAATCTGCAAGCATATGTATTCAGTTCCAGTTTGATGTAGAAATTAAGAGACCAGGCTAGAAATCAGGAGACTGTGAATTTTAGTCTCACTTTAGGCATGAAATGTGCTGGTGACTTTAGGGTAGTCACTTTCTCTCAGCCCTAAGAAGGCGGCACATCAGCAGGTTATTCAGGTCAGAAGATGAGCGAGCAACAGCACAGGTCAGGAGAACTGGGTGAATGGCACAGGCCAGGAACACTGCATGGGGGTACCTTCCTTCTTTCCTCTTCCAGCAGGTAGGTGAGTGACAATTGCTGGGTGGGATAGAGATCAATGGATTGCAGGCTAGCTGGAAAATGCTGAAATGAACATTATGCAACTTCAGCAGCAGCCAGTACTACTGAACCAGCTACAACTTTCATACCCTCAAGAATCATAAATCCCAGATTTTTGACACTTTCCCATTTGAGATACCTTGGTTCAAAAACTCACCCAGTTTCATGGCAACAAGATGAGGGGAAAACTAACACATAAGAATTAAGGAATATGCACCCCTCCAAAAAAAATTATGGTATCATTTTTATTAACTTTTTAGTATAAATAATAGCTGTTATAGTTTTGGTCAAGTATCAATCTGAAAATTTTATTTATAATCCGTGGATATTTTTCTGAGTTATTTTATTTCCAATAAAATGTTTTAAAATATTGACAAATTGGTTTTGCAGAGACTACAGGTCACAAAGAAAAACAGTACAGTATGCAGGATTGAAGAAGTTGTTAATGGGCTATATCTCAAACATTACAACAAATCTTTGGCATAAAATTCTTTGCTTTTGGGGAACAAGTGAATCTATAAATTCCTTAATTTACTAAATTTATTTTAAGAATTCTAGAATTATATATTTAAAACCAGCTAGTGTAGTCATAACAATTCAAAAAAGTAGTGCAAGATCAGCAGATGTGTAGAAACCTGGTCTATAGAATTGCCAAAACTCAAACACGACTAAATGAAGAATAGCATAACCATTTAATGAAAATAAGCATAACGGGTGACATAATAGCAATGTTCGGATATGTCAGTGACTGCCACAAAGAAGAGTCAAGCTATTCTCCAAAGCACCTGATGGCAGGATACAAAACAATGGATGGAAACTAATCAACAGAAGTAACCTAGAACTAAGGAGAAATTTCCTGACAGAACAATTAATCAGTGGAAAACTTGCCTCCAGAAATTGTGAATGCCCCAACACTGTAAATTTTTAAGAAGAGATTGGATAACCATTTGTCTGAAATTGTGTAAGATTTCTTGAGCTGAGGGTTTCCTGATCAAGAGGTTGGACTAGAAGACCTCCAAGATCCCTTCTAACTCTGTTATTCTGAAGAATATATAAGAAAGATGTTAATCACTGTAGTCATTTCTTCATGAATCAATGAATAAATCTTCAATCACTTAGCTTAAAATGCTCCTCCTTGCAATCCGGATAAAATGCATCTTATTTTGACACAAAAATGATAGTATCCTCAAAAGCATTTAAAAGATTTCAATAAGCCTAAAGCTCTTAGGTATGATGGATTTCAATCCCCTACCAGCAATTCTGTTTTATATCCCATTAGAAAGCGGACATGGCAGGGGCTAAGCAATGGCAACATTACATTGGGGGCTTTTAAGAATTTTCCATAAGGAAATGTGTTTCTCAACTCTGGCAACTTTTAAGTTGTGTGGATTTCAACTCCAAGTTGAAGTCTGTAGGTCGTAGGTCTAGACTCTAGAGGGCTAAAGCACTGGGCTAGAAACCGAGAGGCTGCACCTCAAGCTTGAGTGAGTTTATGCCACATCCCCCCCCCCCCCAAGTATCTTTCTCTCTTCACAAAGTTGTCGTTGTGGAGGAAAGAGGAGGAAGGAATAGTAGAAATGCCGAGCTACTTATAAGGCATGATAAGAATAAAATAAAAACTTAAAATCTTCAAGTTGCCAAGATTGAGAGGCACTGCTAATGAGATCTCACAAGGACAAATTTAAATTTTAAATTTTGGGCTTAGACAATTTAGAACTACGCCACCTATGGTCTGACCTAAGCATAGTACATACAATTGTCTGCTACAACGTCCTACCTATCAATGGCTACTTCAGCTTCAACCACAGTACAGGAAGCACAAAATAGATACAACTTAAGGTAAACCGCTCCAGACAGACTGTCTACTGTTGACCTCACCCCATTCCTAAGAGATCTCTAAGGGGCGTGCATAAATGCACCAACCGTCCCTGCCCTAATGTTCCTTTTTATTCGTATCCATTTCATATATTCAAAATTATGTTTATATTTATATATGTTATCTAATACATGCTTGAAGAAATAAATAAAAATAATAAATAATAAATAGGCTATCGCCCCTGCCCGCCTTCCCCCACTTCACGCCTTAGAGGTAACACCCACCCGCTTCGCCAAGAGAGCGGAAGTGAGCGGAAACATCCATCTCCCTTCCTTTTTTTTAAACAACGGATCTCCTTCCCCGAGGATGCTGGGAAGGCAAATCCATCCGCGTTGTTTCTTCGGCCCGCCCCTCTGCGATCGGCTGCTCGAACTTCTTTCTGCTTTCCCGACGTGCCCTGCGCCGCGCCCCGCGATTGTTGCTCTGTCACGGTCGCCGCCGGTGCGTAGAAGACGGAACCATGAAGCAGGAAGGCGGGTCGAGACGCCGTGCCGGATCCGAAAAGGCCAAGCTGCCCCCCGCCGAGCCCCCACAACCGCCCCCNGCTGCTCCTGGAGGATCGCGCAGGCGCTGTATGCGTCCTGCGCATGCGTGGAAGCGCAGAACTCGTCAAAACTGGGTAAGGAGCGTGGGCGGGCGCGTGGGCTCTTCGCCGTTCCTGGAAGTTACTTACTTCCGTGTTCGCTGACCAACCGGTTCGTAGGGACCGCCGCGAACCGGTTGAAACCCACCCCTGGTGGGCAGGGACTTGATTTTGGTAGGTGTAGAAAGAGAGTGCAGGGGAAATGTTGCCAGTAATTGAGGAAAATGTTGCAGGCAGATATCCAGAAGAGTCTAGAGATGTACTCTGTGCTGGTCCTCCTGAATAATGCTCAAGGAAACACCAATTTAGTATTATAGAGGCATTGTAAAGAATAGAGCGCCAATGACCTTAAGGCTAAGGCTTGAAAAATGGGTCTCCAATACACATACAGAAACATACATAAACTTGGGAACTTTTATCTGCATTTAACCTGGCAAACTAAAGTCATTGTCTAAATGGCTATGAGAGTCAATCTTGATTCCTTCTTTTTGTCATTAACATTTTTATTGAATTATAAAGTATTATAAAATACAAAGTAAATAGAAAAGCCGGGGGGGGGGGAAGGCAAGTGAAGAAAGGTAAGAAAGAAAAAGAATTGACTTCCACCACACACTGTTACAATAAAATAAGGCATTAACACCAAATCACAGCTTTTTGCTTTTTCATAATAAGTCATTTCTATAAAAATCTTATCAGTTTAATTGGTAAAACCCAAAGCCAGAGTTTCATTCTTTTCCACATCAAGCACGAAGTTCAGAAGTGGTCTCCATGTGGAAACAAAAGTAGCTATGTTCTTTTCTTTAATCAAAGTGGTCAGTTTTGCCATTTCAGCCAGCTCCATCAACTTCTGCAACCATTTGTCCATAATAGGAATCGAAGTGTCCTTCTATTTTTGTGCATACAATACTGTAAACTTGCTGCTGTCAACATATTATATTCCAAATTTTCCATTTTTTTCTCTCTAGTTCTTTTTCCATTAAGCCCAAAAGGAAAAAGTTCTGGTTTCATTTTTTATCCCCATTTTCAAAATTTTCTGTATTAAAATATGCTTCATCACATGTCCACCATAGATGCTAAAAGCACTCTCTGCTTTTACACTTCCAACATTCATTTGATATACCTTTATACATCTTAGATAACTTATCTGGGTTTAAATACTAACGGTACATCATAAATTCTTTTAGATTATAATTTAATGTGAATTTTAAACCCTTCGTCCACATATTTTCCCATTGTTCAAGCATCACATTATATCCAAAGTTCCTTGCCCATTGAATCATACAGTGTTTTACATGTTCATTTTCCAAATTCAATTTCAATAACATTTTATAGATCTTAGCAATAACACATTTATCATTGCCACATGATGAAATTTCCAATTCATTTTTAACAAAGTCAAATCCAGAACGCAGCCGCGCGAGTGATTGTGGGTGCACCACGGTTCGCCCACATAACACCGATCCTCCNCCACAACCGCCCCCTCCGGCAGCCGATGTGGAGATGCCAGAGGAGGCGCCTCCGGCCGAATCTGCTTCGGCGGAGAAATCGCAGCGCGAGCTCGACGCCGTCACGCTCGAAGGTGGGGAAGACGGTTGGGGGGAGGGGGCAGAGTAGCATCGCACGCGTCGGAACGGCAAAGGCCAGAGAAGTGGAAAGGGGCGGGGCCTGGAATATCCCCCCGTCCCCGTCCTTATTCCCATCGAGGTTAGGGGCGGGTAGGGCTGGGGTGGGGGGTTGCTGCCCAAAGTTGCAGGGGCTGCGGTTGGTCAAGTTTTGTGGGTGGAATTGCGGTTTGGAAAGGGGGGTTAATAGAGTGGGATTGTTTCTTGGGGGGGGGGAGCAAAAAAATAAATTACAGAAGTTTTAAAGCTACAGAAGCGTTTGGAGAAGGTAGCCTAATTTGGGGAGGATGTGAGGTACTGATAATATAAGCCATAATTCTTCATGTCTTGCTTAATATATTATAATTGCTTGGGGTGAAACAGGTTGCATTACTGCTTTTAGACCTTGACTTAGTTCCTTGAGTTGAAAGCTAGTGATATTGGGTTTTTCTGAGGCTACCAGATCTGGCCTATGAAAATCTGTATCTGTTTTCTTGCGTGGCTTTTATATTTGTGTAAACCTGCTGAAACACTATGAACTCCACTGAGAAAGTACATAAAATGCAATCTAATTAGAAGATGTCTTGCTCAAAATTCTGGTTTCTCACAAGTTTTGTGTTGGCAAAGAAACAGGTTTGAATTGCTTAGTATTACAGTGTAATTTATTCTGTAATAAGGTTGTTGAAAAATACTGGTCTAAAATAATCTGGCAAAGCCCACCTTGGATATATTTTTAGTACATTTTTATTTAAAGGGTGTGGTAGATGGTGGAGTCTTTGTTACTTACCAGCTTAGTAACATATTACATTTTAATGGAGATGACTGTCTTATTGGAACAGTAAAGTTTAATGGTTCACAAAGTGGAATCTAAAAAAAAAGATATAGAATAAAATCAAAATAAGCCACATGTAATAAAAATGCAAGAAGCATAAGCAATTGTATTTTTTTAAAATAGTAATGATTAAAATTTTGTAAAAGTGGAAAATATTTTATTTTGATACTAAAATACCAGAATATGGGTATTAGGTAATTTTTTCTGGAAAAACATTCTGCAGCTAAGGTCCAATCCCTGAAAATTGGTTCCATATCAGATTAATCAGCAATAATGCCAGCATTCAGTTTTCATCATCCACAGATAACTCCTGGAGCTCCCACACTTCAAAATAATGTTGACTTTTGCCCATTTGTATTTTATTATTTTTCATCTAGCAGTGAAGTCTTCAAATTAGCCTGTAGCAATACTGAAATGCCAGTGTAAAGCCTTAGAGCAGGCTGGCTGGGAAGTTCTGGCAATCCGCACATCTTAAAAGTGTGGACTGCCAGAATGAGATTGAGGAACACTGGTTTAGGAGCTACTGAAATCTGCATTATAATCCAGAAACCAGTATCCATCATAGTCACTGCAAACATTTTTCCATACTATAAACAGTTTTTATAGGCATTTGAGTAAGTTTGCTATTAGTTTAAAATAGCATCAGAATTATTGCTTAGAATCCAAAAAATACATGCTAAAACAATACAATATTGTTATGTAAGTTTTTGTTGTATGAATATTAACCTGCTGTAATCAGTGCTGGCCATTTCCTGCTATAATGTTAAGTCATCTTTATTGAACTTACTTTGTTTATTATCCATTGCAGACATCAAAGAACATGTGAAACAACTTGAGAAAGCCGTATTAGGAAAGGAACCCCGTTATGTTCTGCGTGCCCTCAGAGCTTTGCCCTCCACTTCCCGTTGCCTCAACCCCAATGTGCTCCAAAAAGCCATCAGTGGCTTTTTTACATCTAACAGTGCTGTGCGGGACTTCCTCATCAACTTCCTGGAGGAGGCAAGTTAAGAGGAAG